CCCCTGTTGATGGGCACACGCCCCTGTTGATGGGCACACAGGCCTTTCCTTGTCTTTTTATTGTGACACACTGCTCGTCTGTCAATATTGAGTGATTTAGATTGTTTCTTCTTTGTATAAGCACTATATGTAGAAAAATAAATATAAGAATGCATTCCCTATGTTTTGAGAATGTATTAAATCCAGAAAAGCACACACATTCAGCATCTCCATGTCAGAGGGGGTAATTTTTTTAAATGGAAGAGCGTGGCCCTGGAACGCCATCGGTACTCATTCAGGAGGGTTGTCTGAGAGGATGTGGTGTCAACAGTGCCTCTCATTGCATTTTTCTTTCTGTGTCATAGGTGCCAACAAGTTGCTATTACCAGCCATGTATTTCTCCATGGCTTTAATCTGGACCAGAGCCCAGAGAGAAATGTTGTTATTCAGGCAAAAAGAGAAAAGACAGAGAGAGCAACAGACAGAGAAGATGGGGAACTAACTGAGGAAATCAATGAGGCTTTCCACTCTTCTAGGCTTCATGCAGTACTCTGTCTGGTTTGATTATTTTTCAAAATAAGAATGTAGTCATGCTTTAACAGGATTGCTTTAATCAATGCTATTAGCTAGTCTGTGGAACCTGTAATCTTAATTTAGGGTGGGAAAGAAGAAAAGGAATCAACTGCTCATCTGTAATTCCATCTTGGGAAGGTACTTTATTGACATCACCTTTGGTCAGGGATCATACTAACACTACCAACACTGTCCCACACGGTGGCTGTGTGGAATTCTCTAGTGAAGGGAGATGTCACTAAGACTATTTGTAGACAGAATCGATAAGCAAATGGATTCTTTTTAAAGAAACATGTTTTTGTTCTTTTTCTTTTTTAAATTTTATTTTATTATTTAGTGTGTGCCATCAAATTGGATCTGACTGGTACAGGAGGAGATTGCCCTTCCTTCTCCACTAGAGCATCTGGTGGATTCAAACTGCATACCTCTGGGATTGCAGTGCAGCTTCTTGCTAGGCCACCAGAGCTCATTGTTATTTTTCAAGTATAAACATTCACTCCAACTGCCAACCCAACAGTCACTGGTAGAAATCAGACATAACTGGAAGAAATGGAAAGAAGCCCACACATAAACACAGATGTGAACAAAGAGCACTGTCTGTGATCACTAAAGATGGTAAACAACCTAAATACTCAGCCACAGAAAAGTTAATAAAGAACTGATAAACCAGTCATGCTACACAACATTCTACAGAAGTTAAAATAAACCAGACATATGCACACTGCCACAGAGAACTCAACACATTACTAAAGAAAAAGCTAACTGCACATTATGTTGATCCTTATCTTTTTATTATTATTATTTTTGTGTGTGTGTACCGTCAAAATGGATCTGACTGGTACATACAGGAGGAGATTGTCCCTCCTTCTCCAGCAGAGCATCTGGTGGATTTGAACTGTGTATCTCTGGGATTGCAGTGCAGCTTCTTCCCACTAGGCCACCAGAGCTCTCTGTTGATCTTTATTTTTAAGAACACAAAGCAAAACTATAGATTTTAAATACATGTGTATAGGGAAATGCACAGAGAATGGCAGATACAAGCAGATTTAATAGGTTAAAGGGAACATATGCAATTTTCATGTATATACAAACCTATTAAGTAAAAACAAACAAAAAATCCACCCTGATTTTTTCCAAAGTTTAGTTCCCCTTGAAATCTTACTAGCAGAATACAAACTTGACAAGTTTCCATTCACCATGAAAAAAATAGTTCCCTTCAGTTCCACTTATTCAACATCCTAATTGAACAGGTTTAAAATAGTGACATATCCCTGCTATACCTCCTATTAGCAAATCAGTTCAGCAGCTGATGCCTTCAAAGCAAGCTACTCAGAAAACTTACTGCAAAGAAGTTAGTCTATAATACATTTCTAACCTGAGATCAGGGCAGGGAGGAGGAAAAAGAAGAGAGAACAAAAAAAGTAAGTGACTCATTGCCATCGAGTCAGAACCAACTCACAGTTGACCCTCTGCCAGGTTTTTAGAAGTTGCAAATCACATAGGAGGAGAGAAGACTGTACATCTTTCTCCCACAGTGCCACCGGTGGAATCGAACTGCCTGCCTTTGGGTTGGCAACACAACCTTTCACTATTGCACCAAGGGAGAGTAAAACCAATTACACAGAAACTTGGGTCATTTGGGGAGAATATTCTGAGATGTTATTACTCAGGATTTGGTGTAACTGGGTCTCTGCATCGTGCTAACTCCTAGGCATCAGCTGGGGAGCAGAATTTCCTTCATGGTAAAGCTCCTCCTCGTTCCTTCTAGGAGCGGATCCTTCAAATCCCAACACACAGGCACAGCTCCTTCCAGCTGCCCTGCCCTCCCCGCTCTGTCACCTTAATCACAGCTCACTCTGCTAGACTCACTCATCTACTGGCACTTATGCCTGCTAAACAGCAATTTCAAGGACACCTTGTTTACTCTCCTGTTGTCCAGAACAGGTGCCAGCACGGTCCTGAAAAGATCAGAAGAAACTCTCAAGGCTTGGAAAAGCTCTCCTACAGGTGGTTGTGGTCTATTTAGGATAGAGAACCCCAAGCAAGGTGACCTGCTTTCTAGGGCTCCTGTGTCAAGTCAAGAGGAAATGGAGGGCTAGGCTTACTTTTTACAAAAGAGTGAAAACCTCTCTCTCTCTCTGTCCCACTGAAATCCAATGAGGTGTGCTCTGCTTTAAAGAAACACACCCAAAACAAAAATCTAAACTTAGATAAGAAGAAAGTGACTGATTTTTTTTTTAAAGTGACTGATTTTAAGAAAATAAAAGTCTTTGTTCTTTTTTTAAGGAGGGGTGGGAAAGGTAACTTTATCGTTTTCTTTTTATAAAAGAAGCCAAGCTTCTGGTCCCCACTGACAGAGCTGCCACACTAGCCCCCTATCTGCCTGCTCTCTCTGTCTCATTGCTCTCCTGTTCACCTCAAACTCAGTAGTCGGTGACCTTCTAAAAGACAAACAGAACTGCTTACTCTCCTGCCTTCCTCGAATGACTTCTTGTCCTCATGTTCAAATTCTGTTCACAGCCCTGTGACCACCTCTCCTCCACAATTTTAAAACACTCATGTTGTGCCAGATCACACAAAACCTCCCCTTTTTCCAGCAGGT